AATCCAGCCAAGTGATATGTCTGTTAAACGTAGATAAATAATGTAGATGTGCATAAGTTCCCGTGCTTTCCATGCAGTATCTTGCTGTTGAGATTTTCTTTTTGTCATATCGTTTTGATCATGTTACCTCAATTTGATATTTTGTCATTGGTTGCCCATTCCTTTTAGGATTCTGTGCAATCTTCCTGTTTTAACATTCAAATCCATATGGAACCCAGATGTGTCTATCTTTAAGCTCTTATTTCCTTTAACCAGCCTGCTCTAGATCTACATTCCAAAAATTCTAGGCTTCCTGCCCTACGAAGGGTTTCCTCTTTCTTGTCTCGGCTTTGTCTATTTGCACTTGCTGCGCCATATTTTTTGAATTGTCTCCTTGAATATTTACAGACTGATCTTTCCCTCATTATTTTCAACAACCGTGTCACGCATGCTGCTGGAATCACAGTGGATCACAGTGATCATGACAGCATCCACCCAGGGGGCATGGGGACCTGTAGCTCTGTGCCCCGCACCATCCCGGCTTCCTCCTACTTCATCACACGGAAGTGTGAAGAAGCAGACTCTTTCCATTGATTTGAAGGGAAAGATGGGAAAACTCCTTACTTTTGCTGCTGGCTTATTTTCGGCTGTGGCAGGGATTTTATTTTTTTTTAGTTCGGCTACAGAGCCGCCCTGGAAGTGGATTGTATGGATTTTATAATGTTTGTTTTGAATGTTTTGATTGTATATTGTAGATTGTTATGGCATTGAATTGCTGCAATGTTGTAAGCCACTTTGAGTCACCTTCGGGCTTGAGAAAGACGGGATAGAAATAACATAAACAAACAAATAAATAAGTGCTTCTCTGGGTTGTGATTGGCGCAGTCAGGGTCCATGGTCAAACTTGCAAAAAACAAACAAACAAACAAACCAAAAAACAAAACCCTGCCACTGCTGAAAATATGCCAGTGTGAAGAGGTCCTAAATCTTCGTTTAAATTTAAGTTTATATTCTTGTATATTTTGATTATATGCATTTGTCAGCTTGCATCATATTATATTATATTTTATCTGGACCCTCTGAATCCTGTTTTTAACTAGAACTATGGTGAGTTTTTGAAATTTGGTGCATTAATAGATTTTTAGTTGTATTGTGTTTTTAAATGGTCGTGTGGTCACAAACCAACTTTTAATACAACCCACCCATGGTCCAAAACCACTCTAAAATGTTGTTTTCAAGTCCCTCCAAAGTAACAAAAATGAGAGGGAGGGGAGAAGCTGAAAATTGACCAAAATAGAAAGAACAAGTGAGTAACACCACTTCCAGCTTTAATTTATGGCAATGTTTGTGGCTTCTGCATACTATGTCAGTGGATGCTGAGAAGGTTGTGGTAGAAGGTTAGAAGGTTAGAAAGTTAGAAGGTTTTTTAAATCTGTGTTTCCTTGTAATGTTGTGCCACAAAATTGAGAGGTCAAAAAACCTTCAAAATTTCTACATTCTGTGTAAGTGGGGCCTGAGAAGGTTGTGGTGGAAGGTTAGAAGGGTTTTTTTTTTAAAGGGAGGAACGTCTGTGTTTCCTTATAATGTTGTGCCACAAAATTGAGAGGTCAAAAAACCTTCAAAATTTTGTAGGGTGGCTTTGGGATGGTTTTGTAAAATCTGGAGATTCAGGGGGCCCCAGGGACTGCTTATGATCCAAGAGACATACTTTGCCTATCCCTTTTCTTTAGGGATATTTGGGTCTCAAACATGTTGATATGAATTCCTCTTGGGATATTCACAGGATCATAGGGAAGGAGATTTCCAAGAAAAATCAGGGAGCAGAATTTTATCTCGTCCATTATTGCTTTGAAAAAGCCTTTTGCTCTCTTTTCATTTATGTTCCTGTCAGGGCTCTAAAATCTAACACCACGACAAAATGACCCACGGAGTACAAGCAGCAGGGCATTATGCAGCTGTGTGAAGTTTAGCATTCTGATCTCACCTACCAATCTTCTCCAAAACTTCTGCTTCACTTCCTTATATTTTCATTAGTTTCCGACTCACATGTTTCTAGTCTAAAGCTTAGTTCTGCCCTGTGTGTGTCATATAAAAAGTGTTCAGCGGGAACATATTATTTTGATTTTTCACTTCAGGTGTGATAGTGTCTTCAGCCAAAACTGACAGATAACAAATGAGCCATTTTTAGAGTTAGGTGGGTGGGGAGTAGGTGGATTTTTAGCAAGGTTTGAAGAACTGCTCTTGGGTATATTCAAGATTAAATTGCAAATTGCCGATAGCAACTCTAAAGACGTATTTCTTACAGAAAAGAAATCTTTCAATAGTTGTAAAATGTGATCAGCTTAAGAAAAGCAGTCACTTTTCTGCCTCACATTTGTCAAGTTAGCCAACCCATTTTCCTCTTTGTGAATAAGTACTTGTGTGGAATAATCACATGTTGTCAGAAATTCCCAACATTGCACCATGTAAACTGTTGCTTGGCTCTGATAGATTCTCATAAACTATGCACATCCCACCATACCTTTTGGCTGCCTCTCAAAATGACTCTCTTTTACCAAAGTAATCACTTTTCAGTTACTTTCCACTTTATTGTTTGAAAGGTAACGTGTAGTTCTTATACATTACAGTGTTAAAGATCTTCCCTGCTTGATAATTTTCCATAATTTCCTGTTATTTGTTTTGTAAAGCAAATCTTTGAACTGATAAGAGAATGACAGACAGGAGAAAAAATCTGGAAAATTCATGTCAAAATGTCTCTAAAAATAACTAAAATTCTATTTAAAAGTAAACTTCGAAAGTAATAAAGTTTCTTGTAAACAACATACAAAAGTGTAAGTCCATTTTGGTCTGTGCATTTCTTTTTAAGGGTGTTGTGGAGGTGAGTATTCTACTCCACCATCTGCAAAACCCAAAATAAACTCTGACTCATTGTTTAGACACGTCAGCATGTCCCCATTTGTAGAGCAGTATGAAATCACAGAAACATCTGGCTCTGTTCCTGTAGCCAAATGCAGAATGGTTACACCATCTTCTGAGACCTTAAGAGGACCTAAAGACTCTCAATAGATTATTTTTACTAATATTTATTTACTTTATTTATACCCCACCTTTCCCCCCATGGGAACTATATTCATTGGTCTACACGGGGGCCTTCTACACTGCCATATAATCCAGAATAGACAGATAATTCACATTTTAACTGGATTATCTGAATCTACACTGCCATATAATTCACTTCAAAGCAGATAATCTGGATTATATACAGCTGTGTAGAAGGGGCCACATAGACAGTTGACTTCTCTGTTTCCCTTGCTGTTCACGATCTGGTGAATGGCTATGGATGGTGGCAGGCAGAGAGGCTAAATAGAGGCTAAACAATGAATCAGTGGGAAGCTGAGATGAATGATATAGCATAGTTCCACCTTCCGAACTATTATACTTTACATTGTGCCATGTGTAATATCAGCCATTGTTTGTTAACACATTGACTGATAACTGTAAGGTCATGTCTTCATTTCCATTGATTATCATGCTTTCGATCTGTTACAAAAAGAGAAAATGGTAACTGACTGTGTTGCTTATTGCTTGCAACAAGTTAATTCCAAGCTGATTTTTAGGTATGAAGTTTGAAGCCTGTATGTTTTCTGTGATCACTTTCAGTGCATCTAGTAATACTGACTGGGGTAGTACTTCAGGACAAGCAAACCTTTCCTTGACAATTCAATGAATCTATATAATGCAGTAGTATCGAACGTTTGGTCCTTCAGGTGTTTTGGATTTCAGCTCCCAGAATTCCTGAGAATTGAACTTCTAGGAGTTAGAATCCAAAGGTTGGACACCACTGATGTAATGGATTCCTGCACTGACAGATAATACAATTATATGGCCTTTGGAGTTATTTTCAATTACAACCACTACATTGTTTTTTTTTCGTTCAGTCATTTCCAACTCTTCGTGACCTCATGGGCCAGCCCACATCAGAGCTCCCTGTCGGCCATGGTCACCCCCAGCCCCATCAAGGTCAAGCCAGTCACTTCAAGGATACCATCCATCAATCTTGTCCTTGGTCGGCTCCATTTCTTTTTTCCTTCAATTTTCCCCAGCATCATTATCTTCTCCAAGCTTTCCTGTTTTCTCATTATGTGGCCAAAGTACTTCATCTTTGCCTCTAATATCCTTCCCTCCAATGAGCACTTGGGCATTAACCACTATAGCCCAATCCTAAATATGTGTCCTTCCATTTCTGTGGTACAGGAAGCCTCAGCTTCTCCTTCTCCTTCTTCTTAAACTTTATTTATACCTCACCACCATCTCCTCAGGGACTCGGGGTGGCTAACATGAGGCCAAGCCCAACAAATACAATAAACAAATGAAATACATAATTAAAATAAAATACAGCAATAAAACAATAACAAACAATAAATGAAAAATAACGCAGTGGGATATAACACCGGGTATGAAGTAAAATAAAATTAAGGACAAGAGTTAATCAAGGTGGGCTGGGCCAGTTGCAAGAATAAAAACAGTGGACATAGGGTGAGATGGAAAACTGGAGTGATTTATCTGGTAGAAGGTACAGGGGGGACATGCTATGGGGTTTAATTTCCCACTAGGGATAAGGCGAGGTGCATCATGAGGACAAGTATGTGCTGGGATGGTCATGGTATGGGGGCTGTGTTCATCCATCAAAAGCAAGGCGGCACAGCCAGGTCTTCATGCTTTTCCTAAAAGCTGACAAAGTGGGAGCTAGTTTATCTGGTAGGGTAAGGACCACAGGGCTATCAGAGAAATGGTTGAAAAGTGGCTTTTTTCTATTGCAAATGAGCAGCCGAAAAATGAAAGTCACACACTATTGTATGCTGTTGCGTATGTGAGAGCAATCCTGAATTAATTGAACTTGTCTGTGAGTAGCAAATGTTGAAAGAGTAAGTCATCAAAAAGGAAAGGTGGCCAGGGAGGGGGAAGCATGTATTACAACAGTTGTAACTTTTATTAAATACTGCTTTCATTTTTTCCCTCAGAACCATGTTTTGTCCCCAAGAAGTTCTCGGCGACTCCATGCTGCTCTGGCATCTGTATCCACCACATTCTTGATTTTCTCCAACCTTATATTTCTGGGAGGAAATCATGTTGGCAGAATCTACTGGAACAGGATTTTCATAGAAGGCAAGTTATCTCAATCTAGATTGGCTCCTTTGTTTTTGTTTTTTGTTTCAAAGTCTTACTGGAATTACTTTCCCAGAATATGATTTGGCATTGCAACCCCCTCCCCAGCCAAAAACACAAATGACAAACAACTCTGCGAGTGCCTGTACGATATGCTTCTCGTCCAATAAGTACTTCATGCATTTTGCATTTCAACAATGGTAATAATCATAGTGTTTTCCCAAAGGCTCCTTGGCTTTCAGACTTAATTTTACTTCCTTCTATTTTATTTCAGGCCATTTTGGAATGCATTGTCTGCCAAAATGGTACTTAGAGTAAGTTATAATAAGGCAATTTCCAGGAAGGTAGCTATGTCAGTATGTGATAACAAAAACAATGAAATGTCTTGTGGCTTCTTAAAATTGACAAATTTTATTTTTTTGGAGTCCAACCCACCTCTTCAGATGAATGAGTTGTTACCGCCATTGTGGGGACTTTGAGCAAGTGTATGAATGCGCAGAATAAGTCAATAAGTCTGTATAACAAAAGAACACAAGATTCATACATGTAGCAACACAGATATAAGCCAAGCAGCAGCATTTAAAATCCTCATCTGTTCTTTAATCATCTACAGGGAAATTCTTGGGCATGATGTGGACTCCTTGTTCAGATGTCATAACAAGCAAAAAAAAAAATTAAACCCAGATTTCAAGGAAAAAAACCCAGCAAGAATATATGGGTTCATAAATTAGGTTTTGGCTGGTTAGCAAACAATGTCTTGTTAGCATACATAAATTTGCACAATGATATTCAAAAATTCGCAAAGACTAGCAAGCAACCTCCTCCAGTTATAGATTTTGCATACCACTATTCACTAGTAAATACCTAGAAGAAAACTATTAATTCTACTGTCACTATGTCTTTTTTTTTAAACAAAGTGGAAGGTAATATTTGCATTATCTGCCTCAACTTATTTAGAATTCTTTATATTTATTTTCCCCTTGTAGTGAAATTCTAGAAGAGTAACTAGGCTTATTGAGTGTTGAAAAATAACAATATGAATAGAATAGTTATGTCAGAAACTTTTGTTCTCTTCTCCCAGCAACAAACAAACAAAATTAGCATGTATCATACGGATTTCCAGGTTCCTCACCAATAGTTGTTTTTCTGTACAAGTCTGCTTGTTCCCAGTCTGCAGTAAATAAAATCTGAAAGATCGCTTTTAAGCAATTCACAGGATAGACAGCTTCTCACAACACTGAAATGAAAAACTCATTTTAAAACCATGCGATTTCTTCATTGTGAAGATGTAAGGCACATGAAATTAGCCCCTGTTAAAAATATTTTTTTCAATGACCTTCTCTTCCCTTTACATGAAAGCTGGCATCCAGAGGAATAATTCATAGTATTGCACACACCCCATACACACGACTAATTCCCACTGCACCATTAATAAGGAGCCACAATTCATTACAGAATTCTCAGCCTGGGAATTTGCTTTGCATCCCAGAACTGAATAGAGCTTACTATTTTAACACACAAAAAACTGCTCTCAGTTACCCTAAGACATTGATTTCAGCAAGATAAATATGACTTTATGGACATAACAGCCTTTGTGGAATGACTACTATGATTGAAATATTGAAATATTACAATTGAAGGGTATAACCTATTTCTAGAACCTGCTATAAATTACTTAAAAATTGTCATCATGTTGGCTTAGACTCATGGATGCTCTATGAATAAGAGACCTCCATCATGAATAGTCCTGCTTGGGTCTCACAGATTCAAGGCTATGTCTTCATTGATTGTGTCAATCCATCTTTGAAATGATTGTGTCAATCCATCTCTTTTCCTACTGCTTCTAGCTTACTAAGCACAACCATATTTTTAATGACTCATGTCTTCTCCTGACATGTCCAGGTTATAATAGCCTTAGTCTAATCATTTTGGCTTCTACGGAGAATTCAGGCTTGCTATCAGACTTATTTTCATAGACTTATTTATTTCTCATTTCGGCAACTCATGGTATATGCAGAAAATTACATATGATATATGCTACCAATCACATTAATTTATAAATAAATAAACTGAGTTAATTTTTTGAAAAATCCAAGAACAACCTATAGCTTGAGGGGCCAGTATTCCTGAATCCATGTGCAGATGAAAGTTCTATATGTGATACCCCATATACCAGAGGTTCTCAACCTGTTGGTCCCCAGATGTTTTGGCTTTCAACTCCTAGAAATCCTCACAGCTGGTAAACTGGCTGGGATTTCTGGGAGTTGTAGGTCAAAACACCTGGGGATCCACAGGTTGAGAACCACTGCTATATACTCATGTATGTCAATTTCATGTATAAGTCAAGGACTGTTTTTTACCAGCATTGTGACTTTTTAATATGACCTGCGAATAAATTGGGGGTCATTCTGGAGAGAGGAGAAAGTGCCGGTGCCACCTCAGTAGTCCAGCCATCCCTTGTTGTTGCCACGAGGCATTCAAAAAGGCCAGAAATGCACAATGATGAAGACATTAGAGCAGGCCCTCCAGGTTCTGTGCCTCCAACCTCACAATGCCCATTTAGCTTCTCTAATGGTCAGGAACTCGGCGAGCTGAAGTCCAAAACACCTGGAGGAACACAGGTTGAAGAGGCCTAGATTAGAGGCTGTTGGTGGTTCTTTTAGGTTCTCCTGGGATGAACTAAGCTCTTAACCTTTTACCATTCTACTTAAAGAAGAGAATGGTTATTTTAAAAATAGAAGTTAAGGCATAACACTCACATTGACCCATAGATAAGTCAACTCAGGATTTTGGGGTTGTTTTTCGAACTAAAATTTCTGGATTTATGCATAAGTATATAGGGTAATTACTTTTTGTTATTCATTACTGCAGCAAATAACAGCAATTATCTTCCAGGCAGGAAAAGTCCTAATAGTGAGCAGAAAACTGTGGGTATAGGAACTCACTGTGTGCAAAAATACAGCATATTAAACAAAAGAAAACAAAAAGAATGTTATTCTGAATGTTAAAAGTGACTTAATTTCTGTTTGTTCTATAGCTAAAAGTTATTCCCATTGTAGTATTTATGCAGAAAGCATTTTCGGTTACCATACTAAATAAGATTGGTGGTAGGGGGGTTTTGCTGAATGTAATTCTATGCTTTGTTCCTGAGGTAAATGTTTTATTGCTAATTCCTTTGCTACCCTTTTTGTGAGGACAATTGTGTTGACTCATTCACTTCCCTATTGAGCCTGCAGTGTTGAGTGGGAGACCACAAAATATGCATTAAAATGGAGGTGGGTTAATAACGTCCAGATTTTATATTGCTTATAGTTTTTACTCAGAGTTTAATATGATGAAGGACAAGTATCAAGCCATCCCCTGTGCTGCCTACTGATTACCATGACGCAAAATGAAACAGTGTGCAATGTCTGCCAACATGGCTAGTTGACATGGCAGCCTCTGAGTTTTACTGGGTTGTGAAGTGCTACTTCCAAGACCCTTTAAGTGTATTCCTCCCATCCAGGAACATAGTCATTCCTACTTCAGTTATGGATCCAACTCAGCACCTTCAGTGCCTTAGCAGAATGATAGCAGAATTCTAGAACAGAATTATGAAGAAAACAAATACCCAGTATTGCTAAGCCACTTCCCAGTGCAGGTTGAATACAGCCCTGCTCTGTCAACTGGTGTTTCACTGTTATCCTATGGAAAGTGATGAGCAGATGAAGGAAAGTGAAAGTACAGTTAGTGACAATACTATCTGAGGTCTAGAATATGCCCTCTATCTATCTCATGTTGCATAGAAGTGGACTGTGAGAATCTTTGACCTGTTCCATGACTTCACCTACAAGAAATCAGCTGGCATTGCAATGGGAAGAATCTTTAAAAATATTTGAAAATGGCCAGAAAAGTGTTTGCTAATTGTCAAGAAATCCTTACAGGAAGAATCATGGCTTAATGGAATTGTCAGTTGCTGGAAAGTGTCAATGATGTGATCGGGAGGAAGATAAACATTTATGTGCAAAAAAAGTAAAACTTGAAGTCAAGAGTGATAAAGTGGATAACAAAATATTGGCTACCAATCCAGGTGTATTAGTCACCCACTGCTATTTGTTTAATAATGATGGCAGTCTCTGAAGGGATAAACATTAACTCACTTCCTATGGAAAACAGTTATGCTTTCATACTCTTTGGAGATTAACTACAGTGCAATAATAGTTATAGAATTACGTGCAATGACTTTTGGAACAGACCCAGATTACGATTGTGGATGGCGCGATTTTTAATAGTGATTGTAATGTTTTATAATTTTTTAATGTGCATTTAATTATAATTTTAAATCTTTAATTTAATGTATTTTAACTGTTTGTTGTTCAAAGGCATTGAATAGTTGCCATATGTAAAGCCACCTTAAGTCCCCTTTGGGGTAGAGACAGGCAGGATACAAATAGTCAAATAAATAAATAGTCACAGTTCCCAAACTTACTCTACACAAAATTCACATTATTTTATTGTTAGAAGCTTATTCTCTCTGCAGGAAAACAATAATTCTGTGCTGAAATATTATTTTCATTACAAAAATTTTTGTTTCTTGAGCAGAACATGATACCAGCATTTTAGTCACAAAAATATTGTATGTGAATTTTATGCAGAAAAAGTTTTGAAATTTCATCTTCGAAAGGTTTTTGAAAGCTTTTTCACCACAAGAAGAAAATTACTGACATTACTTGTTATTTTAATTAAAAAATACAAATTAATAAGTGCACCTGATTGCTTTCCCAATACAATCTTGATTATGGCAGATCAAGAGAGAATATACCGAATATACTTGAGTATAAGCCAAGGCACCTAATTTTAACACACACACACACACAAATCCCAGGAAAACTTATTGACTTGAGTATAAGACAAGAGTGGAAATTGCTGCAGCTACTGATAAATTTCAAAAATAAAAATAAAAATGAAAACCAATAAAATTACATTAATGGTGGCATCAGTAGGTTAAATGGTTTTGAATA